CTGAGGCTTATATTAATTAAAAATGCTCTGCCAATAGCTCAGGCTTGTTACTAGCTAACTCTTACATTTTAAATGACCTGTATTTCTTTCTACACTCTGCCATGTGGCTCATGGCTTGTTCCTTCATTTTCTATGCATCCTGATTCCTCTATATCTCTGTTATCTCCTCTGACTCTGCCCTTCTTCATCCCAGCATCCTTAGTTTGATTGTCCTCCCTGTACTTCCTACCTAGCTACCGGCCTGTCAACTTTTTATTAACCAATGAGAGTAATTCATATTCATAGTATACAGAAGGATTATGTCATGGCACATGGCACTCACCTGTAATTTCAGCTACTAGGGAGGCTAAAGCCAGGGAATCACAAGTTCTAGGTCAGCCTAGGCAACTTCCTGAGACACTGTCTCAAAATAATCAGTAGGGGGAAAAAGCAGGGTTGGGTGCTTTCCTATGTGATGTCATAGGTTCAATCTCTAGTATTTAGTATAGTAAAGTAAGCTAAAGGTTTGAATCTTCTTCTCTTCTTTCTCCTCTTCTTCCTCCCCTCCTGCTCTTTCTCTTCATTCTCCTTTCGAGACAGGGTCTCACTATATAGACCTCTCTGGCCTTGCTGTGTAGACCAAGCTGGCTTTGAGCTTACAGAGGTCTGTGTGCCTATCTTGTGAGTGCTGGGATTAAAGGCACACACCACCATGCCCTACTTAGAGTTATCTTACTTAATTTCCAAACTTATGAGATGTTATCTTTCTGTTAATAATTTTGAATTTTATTGTATAGTGGGAAAGTATGTACTTTTGTACATTTGGAATTTATCAGTTTCCTGTGACCTAATTCAAGATCTAGTTTTGTGATTATTTCATGTGTAGTAGAAAAAGAATCTGTTTTTTTTTTCTGTGTGTTTTTATTTCCACAGCTATGAAAGGAAGAACCCAAATCTCCAACTTTGAGTTGTTGTGTTTCAATATTGCAAAAGTAAGGACCAAATTGAAAGACATAAAAAATATTCTCTCTCTTAAAAATCCACAAGGAGTATACCTTGGCATAAGTAAACATAAAAGGAGAGGAAATGAGGAAAAGGGAATATCATTCCTTTCCGAAAATATGGGTAAAAGTTGCTCAATCTTCTAGGGAGCACAAGTCAAGCTGATGGAGAGCGACTGGCCATCGCTGATGGAGGAGCCACCTGTAATGATTCTGATGTTTGTTTCCTTAGAGGCCACTGACCGTGGACATTTATATAAGTGAAACTATAATGTGCTACTGAGAAGAACCACTGGGTGCTACCTTGGGTAATTGTTCTCCACTAGGTTGGTGGATGGTGGTTCACTAGTCAGTCTGAGCCAATCAGGTTGCTTAGGAGGCAGCACAGACAGCAATCCACACTTGCCATTGGAAGAGGGATTTGATAGTCTTGGGCATGATCCTGGAGGTGTAAGTCAGATCCTTGACTGATAGTCACTCAGAGTGTTTACCATAGGATTCCATGCCCTTCAACACCAGCCTTAAATCTTATGTTGCCCCTGCCCTCTTTTCTTCTCTTCTGTAAACCCTCATGCATCTTACTGTTGCCTCCCTACCTCCTGGACAGGGTCAGCAACTTACCTTGTAGTCCCTAGAAAATTTCAAGTATGTCCAGACACTACAAGCCACCAAAAAGTGCCTTAAACTTGAAAACAAAGAAACAAACCAAAAAGTGTGAGCATTCATTGTGCTATTTATTTTTCCTATGCATGTGAGAATTGTCAAAGCTTATTTCTGGAAAAACTATGCCTCCTTTTCTCTCTATGAAGGCAGGAATCCTTGGCTATTTGTAATCTTGAAAAATCCCTGTTACTTATTTGGATGAAGACAGCAATTGTTGTTAACACTTATCCATTATTTCTTTTCTTTTTTTTTTTTTAGGACAAAGTTCTAGAGCAAAAGATAATGAGGGGGCCTCTTTGTAACTCAAGAATAACATGAGTAGGAGGTGGCAATTGGGTGATTCACTAATAATATCTGGCTGCCATTAGAACCACAGAATCCACTATACATGCTTGTATTGTGTATTGGAAAGAACATGAAATCAGAGGGACTTGGTTAGAATTTAGGTTTTACTCTATATTAGCTCTGAGATTATAGATAACATAATCGATTTTCCTGATTCTACAGACTGCAAGTATTTGAAACGCCAAAAGAATTCCTACCACTTAGGTAAAAACATTGCCACTAAGATGGCCAGTGCCTGCATACAAACACTGAAGTACATTAGCACTGTAAACTGCACACACAATTGGGAGACTTTGAGGAGGGAGGTTTAGAACTGTTCACTGATTTGTTTATAGATACTGAAGGGACCAGCTCCCCATTTCAGCAGCCATAACAGCCGAACACGTATTTGTCTGACCTTGTTTTAGTCACTAAGGTCAGATGCCTGCCCCTTTCGGCTGCCATAACAGCTGAACATGTGCTTGTCTGACCTTGCCTTGGTCACTGGAGGTTAGGTGCCTACCTTGTGGCAAGGAACCAATCAGAAGTTAGCTGGTGGTGCTATGCTTTACGGCTCTGGGTGTGCTTTATGGACAAGCTCACAGCAATGATGAGCAGAGCATAGCAACCACCCTGGGAGGGCCTATGGGCCATAACAACCAGTTGGCCAAGCAACACAGAGCAAGCCCTCCAAGCCTGGAGGCATACCAATCCTGAGCCTGTGTGTACCCCTAGACACT